ATAGTTCAGTAAAGGAACTAGTCAAAACTGTGTAGACAAAACCCAAGGTGCATTTGAGTCTCAGGGGATTTATTGGGCTCAGGCCGAGTATTGAGTGGCATGACCATTCCTCATGTGAACTAAATCTTCTACTTTTTGTTGTTGTTGCAGCCACTTGGGTGCTGAAACTTAACTGAAAAGTGATCTGTTAAATATAAGAGTGGGAATAAGAGAGGGAAGAGATGTGCAATTCGGGACATGTTCAAGCTGACTTACCTCAAACGGTGGAGTTAGAAATATACCAGGGGATTCCAATTTAATCCCATCAAGGTGGCATGTACCAATGTCATCTCACTAGTCCCAGTGATCAATTTCTGTTCACAATTGATTATAATGATAGGACTAAGAACCAAAGGGATCACATAAACAAGAATAGTGTCTGCAAATACTAGCTGATAGAATCAAAAAGGGAGAGAATGATCCAACATGGGAAGTGAGATACACAGCAGACCCATAGAATGGCAAATGTCCTAAACAGCACTCTGGCCTCAGAATCAGCCCTTAAGGCATGTGGATCTGGCTGAAATGCCCATGAGAGTATTTCAGGCATGGAAATCCAAGACACTCTGGGGGGGAAAAAAACCTAAATGAAAGATCCCCATGAGTGAGATCCCAGTGGAAAGAATGGGTCATCAAAGAAGGAGGTACCTTTCTCTGAAGGGAGGAGACAACTTCCACTTTGACCATGGCCTTGTCTAAAAATGACCAGAGTCAGTGAACTCAGGGGGCTTCCATAGCCTTGGCACCTCATGACAAGAGCCTAGGGTGATTACTGATGCTATCAACAAGAGTGTCAATTTGTTAAGTCAACAACAGGAGTCACTGTGCACTTACTCCTCATGTAGGATCTTTGTCCTTAGTGTGCTGTACATTGAGATTTAATGCTATAACTAGTACTCAAACAGTATTTTTCACTTTATGTTTCTGTGTGGGAGCAAACTGTTGAAATCTTTACTTAATGTATGCTAAACTGATCTTCTGTATATAAAGAGAATCGAAAATGAATCTTGATGTGAATGGAAGGGGAGAGGGAGTGGATAAGGGGTGGGTTGCAGGTTGGAGGGACGTTATGGGGGGGAAGCCATTGTAATCCATATTCTGTACTTTGGAAATTTATATTCATTAAATAAAAGTTAAAAAAAAAAAGAAAAAATCTGCTGTGGTCCTGTGTGTATGATTCTTGTCAATGAAAAATTTAACAAGATGATCCTTTGAAACTTCAATAATATTTTAAGAAATGTGACCATAGCTTCTGGCTTAGAAGGCATCCAATTTACTCCCTAATGTGGGAAGCCACCATGTGGCATGTCCTCAGATCCGCAGATCGAGCTTGGCCACGGTGTGGGCATTTTTCTGGTTGAAGCAGCTCTCGGCTGCATTACTGGCCATCTGCAGTTCTGTAGGGCTGTTAGCATGACAGCAAACTCCTCCACGCCTGCCTCTCAGAGCTGCACCCAGGAGAGGAGAGGCACAGTCTTGTGCAGTGAGGTGCTGGTAGGGTGGACACACATCCCATCTCACGGGTGCCCCTGACCTTCCCAAGACTCAATGCCTGCATCAGTCCAGGCTTTCCGTGCCTCTTCTACTGGCCTTTGTCATAAATCTGTCACTCGCTGTGACTTGCTCATGTCCCCATAGCCAACAAAGCCACAGGGATGTCTGGAACGTGCCTACACGTTTCAATTTCCAGAGCTGTCTTGCAATCTCAGAAACTGCATGTTTTCTACTTGTCATTTCTAACAAACATCCAGGTTGTATTATTAAAAAGTGAGGGGTAGCAGGTGGGGGGGGGGAGTTGGCAGTGAGCAGACAGCTGGCATAGATTACACAATATTTAGAAGGAAAAGATGAAATCCCATTAGATACATATATTTAGAAATAAACTCAAAACATCAAATTAAATATGCTTAAAATAATGCCACAATTCTGTGATAGGACTAGTGGAAAACCATACACATATAATCAATAATCTTTTTACATACCAGTAATAAGCATATTCATTAAAATAAGCCAGAGCAAAACGGAAAATACAAATCAAAGAGCAGCAATACGAATATAAGAGAGTTGATTAGTAGTGTAGGAGTGATTGCGGAGTTTTTCCTACATGATGATTATAGAGGCACAGAGAACATTAAAAATAAAAGCTACTGACATATGACTTAGCAAAGGCTAGATTTCCCTCAATTCCAATTTAAACACCATTGTGATTTTTTTCTGGAAATATGTAATAGAACTCCAAAGCTTGTCTAATACAACATGTGTGAGAAGAGAAAAACAAATTAATGAGAGGCATACCCTGTATGTTATCAAAAGATGCAATACTTAAAACCTCACTAGATGGAACACTGGACTACTGGAACAGAGAAGATATTTGAAACAGTGCATGGCAAAGGATTGCTTTATAACAATAGTAAATGGATATATTATGATAAATTTATAAAACTAGCTGGAGATGTGGAGGCAAATTAAAGACATATCTTTACATCAAGATAATTGTAATATTATTTGACAAAGTATATAGGTTGACATTTATATACTATGTTAATGGGGGAATGAATATTTCAACCTTGTCCAATGTTGATATTTTACCACTTAAAAATGTAAACTTGGGGCTGCCATTGTGGCTTAGCAGGTAAAGCCACAACCTGCAACACTGGCATCCCATATGGGCACCAGTTTGCTCTACTTCCAAGCCAGCTCCCTGCTAATGGCCTGGGAAAAGCAGTGGAACACGGACCTGCCATCCATGTGGGAAACCTGGAAGCGGCTCCTAGCACCTGGCTTTGGCCTGGAACAGCCCTGGCCTTTGCAGCCATATGGGGAGTGCGCCAGTGGATGGAAGACCGCTCTCTCTCTGTCACTCCCCCTCTCTGTAACGCTGACTTTCACATCAATAAATATATCTTTTTAAAAAGCAAACTCATTTTTCTGTCTTCATTGTAACGAAAACCATGATAAAACAAATGAAAATATATTTACGTCATAAATAAGGGTCAGGAAATGAATACTTTTAATGATGGTACAGCTCCTCTAATCAACTGCAGAAAATGAGCAACAATCATCTACAACCAATTACCTGAAGGAACTGTTCATAGAGCCGCTCCCACTTCAGGAAGTTTAAGGAAAAGAGAATTCAGGTACGTTTATTTGGGTGCAAAATGGTTTTTGAAATCCACACATACTTTTTCTAATATACATTTCCTATGAGGTTTTTGGAGAATCCATGTATAGTTGTGTGTATTGGGGGTTGGGACAACTGTGTGTGTGTGTGTGTGGTGTGAAATCCCTGTTTGATCGCCTGGGTTTCTGTTCTAGGAGTCCTGGAGTGCAGAGATAGATGTGGAACACAAGATATGTGATTCTTTTCTCTATTATGAACTCAATCTTGCTCCACTTTGCTTTTTTACATATTTTATGTACAGTCAAAAAAAAGTCTTATTTTTAGGGCAGTTATACATATTTACATATCAAGATTCAAAATTATACATTCTGAACCAGCCTTTTATTTAAATTTGAGGAATTCTTCCTTTCAATGTTATCACATTTTTCTTAGAAGAATGTTCCTTGAAGCATTCCTCATCAAGGAAAAATTGAAAATAACTTTAAAATTAATGTTTTGCTCCTCTTCCACTTGAACACTCCTTTAAGAAAAACCCAAGTGTGTTGGTTGTTCCTGAAACTGGCCATCACGCCCAGTAAGGCTGTCTCATGCTTCAGGAGATTCAGCCAACCAACCGAGCCCCTTCAGCTTCTGCCACTGTGCAGCCCCCAGTGAGTTGTGTCAGGGTCAGTGGAATGAGAATTGAAAGTCCTGTATTCTTCATTTGTTCTGCTACTTAAAACAGCTTGCTAGACCTTCCTGCTCCTCTCTGTCCTCCTCCTCCCTACCCTTGATGTGCAAGACAGCTCAGCCTAACACTGCTCTGGGGATGTAAGCCAGGCAGGCACCTGTGCCAGGAGCAGAACAGAGCTCCAGGGAGCCTGGGGACTGAGTGGGGAGGGAGCTGCCCTGGGCTGGAGTCTGAAGGTCAAGCATGTTGAGGTCAAGCATGTTGAGGTCAAGCGTGTTGAGGTCAAGCGTGTTGAGGTCATGTATGTTGAGGCCAAGCATGTTGAGGTCATGTATGTTGAGGTCATGTGTGTTGAAGTCATGTGTGTTGAATTCATGTATGTTGAGGTCAAGCATGTTGTGGTCAAGCATGTTGTGGTCATGTATGTTGAGGACAAGCATGTTGAGGTCAAGCATATTGAGGACAAGCATGTTGAGGTCATGTATGTTGAGGTCAAGCATGTTGAGGTCTTGTATGTTGTGGTCATGTATGTTGAAGTCAAGCATGTCAAAGACAAGCATGTTGTGGCCATGCATGTTGTGGTCATGTATGTTGAGGACAAG